AGGTTAGCAAGACACAGTAGAGTTTGAAGGAGAAGCTGTTGGGCTGTGTGTTTGTTTTCTTTGTTGCTGGATGAACTTGAGAGTTAGAGTGAAGCTAAGCTAGCTGTTCACTAACATGGACTACTGGAAGCTGCTGTTTGGCTGCTAGAGTGGAACTTAAAGGGCTACAGAAGATCGTTAGCAGACTGGATAACGAGAGACGGACTCCAGATAGTCGCTCTGAGGGCCCTCATCGCTCAGAGGGCCTCTGGCCTAGTGGGAACTGAGGGCCAGTAATCTGGGACTTTAGCTTTTAATCAAATTATTTTTTTTACATTTTTATTCATTATTTTTCCATTATTTTAGTTTTAACCCGTCTCTCCAGCTGCTTCAACACGTCTTTTCTTTTTTTATTCAGATTGGATCAATGCAGGTTTTCAGAGATCAGCTGTGCTTCTCTGGTCTCAGCTCTGAAGTCCAACCCCTCCCATCTGACAGAACTGGACCTGATCAGCAGCGACCTGGAAGATGGTGGAGTGAAGCAGCTCTGTGATTTTCTCCAGTCTCCCCTCTGCAAACCACAGACTTTGAGTTCAGTCACCATGTTTTAGTTTAGTGCTGATATTTCTAATGGTAAAGTTGTGTTGACTCTAAACTGCAGACATATGGCTGATTAAGGGCGTAGGTTTGATTTCAACTTTGGTAGGGACACTATTGGTCTTTAGTTTCATTGGTCTGATGTTATTGGTCCTATGCAAAAATATGCATGCTCTTTTTTATGCTTGACATTAAAATCAGGGCGCATTTCATTTAAAGAGAAAAGCATTTTTTGCTGCATTTATACAAATCTTATAATCACTACACACACTAGATGCTGTTTATCAATGTTTGAAGCATCACCGGCTCTGATGAATGAGGAATTAGGATTTTTTCCACTTTGAAAGGGGGTTTCATTTGAACTCACCAGCGACTAAGACAGTAGGTTAATACATGCCTATTTAACCAAATATAGTCTAAATATGTCTGTTATATGTGGATTTATCCTGTATTTTCTTTTGAAGATATAGAATTATGCCAAGGTAAACCCCACTTTTAATTTTTATCTGATATGCTCTCTCTGTATCAAGCAAAATAATACATTCAAGGGATGGCAAATAAATATTGTATTTACATGAGTACTGGAACTATAAGAGGCTTTTTCTAGAAGTAGAAATAGTAAATTAAATAGCACTGTTATTATGTGGAACCCAAACTATTCTTTCTAAACAAAAAATAGCAGGTGTTTAGCCGGCATCTGGTGTTCTTATACTCTATAAAATAAATAAAACCTCCTATTTATACCTGATCTAACTCAAAGGGTCATCAACAAATTAAAACAGTAACCAAGAAGTATTAATAAAAGGGAAACAATCACATTTTCCTTTTCAGACGGCTGTGGCTAAGAACCAGAATTGTTGATAGTCTTTGCTTGTCCATTTTACCAGAAGTCTTCAGAACTCCTGTCTTACTCAGAACATTTAGTTTTATAAAGGAAAACAAAGTTTTTTGTTGATAAAATGTATTATACTTCAGAATTAGCTATTATTTTGAAATGCTAACATTTGTTCCACAGATCAAAACACTCTCTTGCTTCTTCATAGAAGTGCAATCAGCAACTTATAGATGATATTTAGTTATTTCATTGGGACTAGTTTCGTACCCTAATATTAATTGTAGTAACTGCGGTATTCTAGCATAATTTTTCGTTTTATTACGCGCCCCCAAGTACGCACACACACGGACTAGGAAACAAAGAATCAGAAAGAGAGAAGCTGAATTTAAGGCAGGAAAATCAGAGTGGAGTTAAACAGCGCAGCAGTTATATATGCTGCTAATTTAAAGGGACAGGAAAGAGCAGGCAGGCAGTCAGACAGAGCAGCAGCACCTACCAGGCAGTGAAGCTGCCAGAGGAAAAGAAGCCACTGCTGCAGCAAAGATGTAAATTATAAACATGTTATTCACATCGAATTATTGGTAAGGACAAGTAGGACATGTCCCTATGGTCCCTCTGCAAACTTACGCCCATATGGCTGATATTCTACTGATCCACACTGAGGATCTTCAGGCTAAAGGCTGATTTCTTCCTCACTGCTTTGATCCAGTTCAAGTTTATTTCTTTTTCAAACTTCCTCTCATGATTTATTCAATAATAAGCAGGAAACATGAAACAATGAGTTGAATTTTAGTGTGGGGTTGCAGCATTATCCAAAACTTCCCAGAATCCAGTGAATTTAGAGCTGATAATGCAGGAAATTCCCACTCCCATTCCCAGCAACATTATTTGGTGATGTTGAGCCAACATGGGCAGCAGTGTGGAATGCAGGAAGAATCCCAGAACCTCTCTAAGACTTCAGTCCTGGAGAGGACACTTGGTTCTCCCGTTCTCCTCCTCTGTACGAGGCTCTGAGCTCCCGGTGCTGCTGCTGCATCTCTCAGTAGCAGATCCAGAGAGGCTGGATGGATCTGGACTGGAAGGTGGAGGCATTGTTAGGCTTTAGTGTCCCTGCCCATCTGGAGATTCTTCCAGATAATTTCTCCCTTGTTTTTATGGCCTCTGGTCAAATGGTTTGATTAGAAAGAAGAAAAACTGCTGATAAAGAGGAAGATAGAAGAAATCAAAAACCCTGACGTGTCATTTAGTTTAATCCATGGATGTATTTCTGAGCTGAACTCACATTTCTGCGAACTTTGAACTGAACGATGCAGTTTTTGAAGTGAGGAACATCAAGTGAACGAAGCTGATGTTGACATCATTTAACGTTGTTCTGTTTAAGGTGAACTAAAGATTGTCCCGTTTTTTGGGGGGTAAACTATAGTAAATTTCCTAGAGAAAGAGCAGCAGCATTTCTCCTTAGGCGCTCAGGTTCTGCTGTCGCTGCCATCGGGCAGCAGAGACCCAGTTCTGCTCTGTGAGAAACTCCATCAGTCATTTAGGCCTTTAAACGTGACTCTGCCGTCTTCAGCTTTGCTTTCCATGTCAGGACATGAACTGAAGGCTCCAACCTTAAAGCTCTCAGGTTCCTCTGAGGGATTTCTTCTTGGTTTGTGGACAGAGACGCAGCCCAGAGAACCATGAAGTAACATTGATCAGCTGGCTCATTGAGACACAATGACATTCATGCTGTGCTTTGATGGACCATTTCTGCTTGGATGGAGGCTTGAAGAGGCCTGAACATGAGGTGGAGCCTTGGACACAAACTTTGAGCTGCAGCTGGGATCTAGAAAGGAAAACTGCTTGGTTTTGTTCACAGAGTTTTAGAAATCAGGATTTTTTGTCCTGCTCCATTTTCAGGCGTTTTTCGTACGTAAACTTTTAGTCTGGATCCTACCAATGTTTTCTAAATGAGACCCAGGACTGGGAACCACTGGGCTGTTGGATCATCCAGACACTGATTACTGAAGGACATCATTACCTGTTTATGTTTGGACTTTATTTCAGCACATGAAGATAAATAAAGGAGAACTAGTTCCAGTAGGAGCTGTGAACTGAGTTCAGAATATTTAGGTAGAGAAATATGAACATGAATCAGTTAATCTGAACCTGCTTAAACCGAGTTCAGAAGAAGTTCTAGTTCAGAGAGAACTGGGTTAGTACTGGTAGAAGGTTCTAGATCTCTTTCTAACCTTCATCAGGTTAGTTATTCTACAGGATGTCTTTAAAGTAGTTCAGGTAATATTTCTGTAAAGAATTTGATAGAATCAGCTGAAAAACAAAGTTGATATCTTCTATTCTAATAAATCTTTTCCTGAGTTGGACTTGGAGCCTTCAGTTCATATCCTAACATAGAAAGCAAAGCTGAAGTTGGCAGAGTCATGGAGGATGGAAATGAACTGGACTTCCTGTCATTTATTTCAGGGTGTTATGGCTCAGGGTCCTAAAAACTGGAGACCATGCCACAAGGTGCAGAGAGAAACATTGATTTAGGATCAAACACAGGTTAACAAAAACTAGAATGGATGGAAGTGTCTGTATTAGTGGGGTAGAGCAAATGATTGGATGTGTCTGTGTGATCATCAGAGTGACCACCATGTTTCTGATTTCACCATCAAAATGAGGACCGCTTGTTGTAAAGTGAGGACATTATTCTGCTCCTGTAGAGCTGTTTGGCTAACAGTTAGTTTCAGGTTTAATGTCAGAGTCAGGGCATAGAAAGGGTTAAAATGACTGAAGATCAATGGAAGTCAATACATGATGATGGTGATGATGATGAAGGTGATGATGAAGATGAATGTGGTGATGAAGGTGATGACGATGATGATGATGATAGTGACGACAATGAAGGTGATGATGACGATGAAGTTGATACTGACGACGATGAAGGTGATGATGACGATGATGAAGATGATGATGTCCAGCAGTAGCGCGTCCATCAGGGGGGCGTGGCGAGAGAGAGAAAGAGGCAGGGATTTCTATCCTCTGTTCAGGATCTCCATCACCATAACCTGCAAAGAGATGGAGCAAACAGGGCAGAAACACCAACACACAACCCAGCTCACAAGGCCTAGGGCTGAACAAAGGGTAGCTGACACACACTGTGTGCAGAGATCCACCTAGGCATGGGCCGCTACTGAGCTCCAATAACAGCAATAGAAAAGAAAAAGAAGAACTCTGAAATACAGACCAAAACATGGAAGATGAAAAGAGGTACGATCAGTGCAGGTTCATCATCAACAGGATGCTAGCTTCACTTTGTTCATTTCACACTTTATGTGATGCAGAGTTAGAAAAAATCCTAATGTCAGTTTATCCAGTGTTGTGCAGCCCTACTGTGGAATAATTGATCATCTTGTTGAATTTATCTACATTCATCTCTATTTGTTCATCTTTCCTCCAAAGTTCTCCAGAACTTGTTTGTTTTTTTCTGTGAAACTGTGAAGAATTTGGCAGCAGAAGCTGAGTTTCTATTGATGGAGCTGCTGGTGGAGCTGACAGAGACAAAGAGCTGAAGTCAGCAGGTCTTTATTGGAGCAGATTAGCATGTTGGCATTAATATTAATGAGAGCTCTTTAACTGCTTCTGTTGGACTGTTCTAACCTGCATCCTGTTGGATCAGCTCACATCTTTCTATTCTTTATCCAGGTTGATTGACTGCGGTTTGTCCAAGATCAGCTGTGCTTCTCTGGTCTCAGCTCTGAAGTCAAACCCCTCCCATCTGACAGAACTGGACCTGAGGAAAAATAACCAGAAGGGGTCAGATGTTCAGCAGCTGCAGGATCTTGTAGAGAGTCCAGACTACAAACTGCAGACTCTGTAAGTAGATGGTTGGAGTGAGTCCAGCTGCTGTCAGCAGGATTGTTCTAAACCCAGTTAGTATCAAAGCAAAGATCCAGTGTTTCCAGTAAAGCTGCAGCTTCTCAGTGGGAGGAGAATGGTGACAGGCTTCTTGATTGGACACAGAGACACCAATCAGCCAATCAGAGGAGCCAGAAGCTGGTTGTGTTCCTGTGTTTGTGTTGATGTGAAGACGACTGTTGTTGTTGTGTTCATGTCTCCAGGAAATGAAGCTGGATTCCAGCTGCCAGCCTTCCAACATGTCTAGAGACAGTGGTCCTCATCCATCAAACTGTGGGAGCATCAGATCTGATCTCAGACTCTTTGTTCTCTCATTTCAACAGGAAACAACTGATCAGTTCCATCTTAGCCACAGCTCTGAGATCAGTCTGAATGCAGCCTGGAAATCAGTGGCTCTGATTTCACAAACCATCATTCCATTTAGTCACCATGTGGTCTTTCTACAGAGCAGAAGCTCTGCTGAAGTCCACTCAGCACATCTGGACATGTGTCCTTCTGTCATTAGTCTCATCCAGATGTGTTCAGGGACAGCCTCCATGTTTCTTAGTCAGCTGATATTTCAGAAACAGATGAGATGTTGATCAGCAGCCAGAGTTTCTGTGTCTAAATGGAGCAGCAGCTAACATGTAGCAGCAGTAAATCCATCACTACAGTGTTTGTGCAGCAATGAAGCCTTCAGGACTCTCAGCAGGTGGTTTCCACTGTGGACTGGAGGGAAACCTGCAGAGGAACCAGACTGGATGCTAAAAATGTGTTGAGCTGTGTGAGCTTGGAGCTCAGTGTGTTCACTCCAACACGTTAAGATGAGAGCTGAAAGGAAGCTGGCTCTGCTCCACAGCTGCTCTGAACAGGACTGAAGTCCCTGCTGCTCTTTATCCTGGATGTGCTGCATCACTGACTGACAGCTGATGGAGAGAGAGAGGCTGGAAACACTCACTGATCTCCTCTCTTCATCCTTCTTCTCTCTGCAGGTGGTGGAGGGATTGGTGATCTTAGTGGAGGAGAGAAGCTGATCTGTGTCCTGATGATCCTCAGAGGTTGAAGCTGCAGCAGTTTGAGTTTAAAGAGACTCTGACTGGATCCTGATGATGAACTCTGAGTTTAGAGATTTGTTTGTTTTCACTCCTTTTTTCTCTTTGTTTTCATCGTCTCCATAATATCATGTTGATATTTTGATCTATAACATGTGAAAAGATTAATTTAAAAAAGAATCCTGAACAGTTTTATCAAACTTTTAATGAACTTTAATGTTAAATTTAGCGGATGCTGTTGTAAACCTCAGAAAGTTCTCTCTCTTTGGTTTAATATTCCCACTGAACTTCCTGGATCAGATCTGAAAAGCTGCTCTGTCTTTCTGATTCTCTGAGAGCTGCAGCAGTTTCAGATGCTGAGATCTTTTTTCTTTGGGTGTTTCCTCTATTTCTCTCCATTCATTCTGTCTCCATGTTCACCTGCTGAAACCTTTAGATCCTGCTGAAAATCTTTGTTGTTCCTGCTGATGAACCACCACTGTGGCTCATTGTTAGCAGGTTAGCTAAAGCAGGTGTGGAGCGATCCAGGACCTCAGATGGACTCAGGAAGCCCTTCCAGTCCGGCCCCAGCAGGGTGGAGGAGGGCTGCTGTCATTAAGGAGGAGCTGCTTGGACTGAAAATAGAGTCCAAGGCTGAATCCCATCATTTGGCCTTAACTCTTCCTCACCAACCCTAAGCTAGTGAGCTGTTGGGGGTCCTGGTTGTTCTGAGGAGTTGTAGGGGGGGCACCCATTGGTCCTTGGACAGGGATTCTGTTTAGGAGACCGTTTGGAAGCAAAGATGTTAGAGCTGAGCTTGGAAATGTTTGTTTTCTCACTTCCAATGTTTTAATGACTCAATAACCATTGTAGTGTCTAATTCAAAATGTTCTGATATTTCATGTTGTTTTCCACTGTTAATTATTCTGAACCAGTTTAAAGACAGCAAAGATAGAATATTTCATCCAATATTTTCCTCTACTAGTTACTATCCTGGTCCTGGAGGGTAGCAGCTGGTCTGGATCAGTGATCATCTGGACAATCGTCTAGTTTCCAGTCTGGTGTGAAGCTCAGAAATTGCTCATTATTCCATGTTAAAGTGTTGAAGTGTGAATGTGCCTGCGTGGTTCTCTCAGGGTACTCCAGCTTCCTCCCACAGTCCAACTAATGACTGTTAGGCTGTTTGCTGTTTCTAAGTTGCCCTTAGGTGTGAGCGTGTGTGTGCATGGTTGTGTGTCTCTGTGTTGCCCTTTGATAGACGACCTGTCCAGGATGGATGGATCCTATTAAATTGATCTAAAAAAACTGCAAATAAGAAACAAAACCTCATAAAAATACTTCTTGAACCATTAAAGCTCATTTTATTGTAACCTGTAACAATGTTCAGCTGTTTGCTACCAAGTGTTTTGTTCCTCAACAGCCTGAAAAATGCATGTCTAATTTAGAAAACACATTGATTAAAAAGCTGAATGGAAAACACTTTCTGAATCCATGTACTTGTCTTTACTTGAAAAAAAAAGAAAATCTTTGGTATAGTTGGAAAAACATCTTTAAAAGGAGAACAACTCTGCATTTTTTGCTGCATTGTTGGAAAAAACTCCAGCAGTAAGTTCAGACATTGGTGTTTGTTGATGTGAAGAATTATTTAGATTGAGGTTTATCAGCTGCTTCCATCAGACTTGATAGCTATAAACTGGTTAAAGCCACAACATCATAAAACATCAGCTATAGAAACATTCATTAGAAAAATGTTCAAACCTGCAGCAGTAGCTGGGTTTAATACTTTAGTGTTTAAATCTATACAAACAGAATAATGTTGTTTACTTTGGGATCAAACTAAGCAATATCCATAATCCAGATGTTGCTCTAAAACTTTGTTCATTTCATGTCAGAAATGTTTCATTAGCGACTGTCAGCTCTAAGAAACCCCCACATGTGTGGACAATAGGTCTTCTTTGGAAGCCCTGAACCTGTGTGAAGGACACAGTGATGTTTTTCCCTGGAAACAGATGTGATCCAGGAGAAAACTTGAGAAAACTGGAAAGATGGACAGAATCACTCTAAGATCTGCAGTTAGCTACTTCCTGATTAGTTTTTAAGGGCATTTGGGTCACTATGGAAAGTGACTGAATGGATTATTTTAGGTTGTGTTGGTTGCAGTGCACCAAAGGCAGCTGAAGTTCCTGTCAGCTCTGGCTGATTTAGTGCAAACACATTACTCCACTCCTCTATAACAAAGGCTGACTCTTGGGGAAGTTTTTGGTGAGCAGCTCTGTTAAGGTCTGCCGTGTTTCTTGCTGTCTGAGGCCTACGACAAATATGCAAATCAAGCAATTCTAATATCTTTGTCAAGATTTTCAGACTCTGAAATGCAGCCTCATTCACTGTTAGACACTTGTTCAATCTGAGTGTGAAAAACAAACACTTTCCCTTTCATCTTTTCCAAAGTCGTGTCACGGGTTTGGACCTTTAAAGTCATTTCCCATTATGCACTGCTCAAAAAGGTCATCCCAAACTCTGACAGCACATCTCTTAGAACACCACCATCCTCTACAGCCTTTTTTCAGTTTCCAACCGGGAAGAATAACATTAAAGGTCACATTATCATTCATGATCTTTCCTTCGGAAAACACTTGAATTCTCTCTGTTAGAGTTTGTTGTCTGTGAACCTCATGGCTAGTCTTCCCTCTTTCAGACACATCCATGACAGGAGGCAGTGAAAGGTCCTCAGTGGCTGACATCCTGAAATCTGAGAAATGTCTTTGGTCGTCCAGCTCACGCATCTGTCAAACTGAAACACTATCTTCTCCCTGTTGATCTCTGGATTTATTCAGCGCTCTAACAAACCACCGCTGTTCACTGGTTTTCCAGCTTCCTGAGCTATTGCTGATAAAAGCCAGGAATCCTCTTCCTCCTCCACTTCAAACCCTCTCACCTCTCATCCAATCTGCTGCTCCGCTGCTGCAGACCTATCAGCCCTGTGCACGCCTCCACCATGGCCAATCAGCATCCAGGACTCTGCTTTAAAAAGAACTGATCCACCAATGGCTTTTCTGGTCCATCAAGCTTCAACCCTCCTCCACCATCATCATCCTCGTTTCCATCTGGCGTCCTTCTTCCTTCGGCATTCTTTCCTCCACCAGTATCAGGCACCTGGGGGGGGGGGGGGGGGGGGGGGGGGGGGGGGGACGTACCCATCCTAATTCATCTCCTCAATCAGAGCATCATCATGCTCTATGCTGACGTCTTCCACCGAGGCCTGAGCACCAAAGGCTAGATTTCTCATTTCAGTAAAGCTCTCTGATTGGTGCTCGTCTTCTCTGTGAGTCTTTCCAGGTTTAAATTCAGGTTTCTTTTTAGAAACATTACCTTCTAAATGTGTTCACCCCTAAGATGTTGGACAGATCTTCCTATTCGGTCTTTCTTTGTTCTGTCCTTGGAAACTCTCTCTTTTCAGGTTCCACAATTTTTCTGAGCACATCTGCACTAATTACAGACCTTGCCTCTTTCCATCTACTCCATGTCTTCTTCTGGCACAAGTCTGGATCTTAAATATTTCCAAAGCTCCTCCATCTTCTGCTCTTTGTGTTACAAGGGGGTGAGAGAAACAATGTCTGTCTGCCTCACATAAATATCTGACAGTTTAAACATTGAATCCAGCCCAGATTTAATACCAATAGATTGTTTGTTCTTGAATACCAGCAGTTTTCTCTTTAAACCAGCCTGTTAGTTTAGTCCTGATTGAAGCAAACATCCCAACTGTCATGGAGAGCAGAGCAGCGATGTTGATGGGTGACGACAGCACAGCTGGAGAATCTACAGTACAACCCCCTGAAAAACTGTGTTAGGAACCAAACTGGGCATTAGTGAACAGACGGACCTAAACTAACACAGCAACTGGAACCTTGGAGAAGGATGTGTTTAAAAGCTGGAGAACAGCAGCTCTCCAGGACTGGACTTGGACACCACTTATCTAATCCATCCACTGGATCTCTGGCTGGATGACAGGGTGGTTGACCTGCTGGATGAAGCTCCATCCATCTTTCCATCAACTCTGACCAGCTTCCTGGTACCTGCTGAAGAAAAGCATCCCCCAGCATGATGCTGCCACCACTGCAAGTGCCTAATAGTAAAGGCCTGATAAAGGCAGCTGTTCTGTTCCTGGCCTCAGAGAACAAACAGCATCATGGAGACTAAGGAACACATCAGACAGGTCAGGGAGCAGCTGGTGGAGAAGTTGGAAGGAGTTGGAGACTTTTCAAAGCCACATATCTACAGATACCAAAGAAATAATGAAAGCTTTTATTCACAGGTGAATCATCCAGGAGCTCCAGGTGGAGTTACTGACAGGTTGGTTGTTTTGTTGACTTGTTCTTAATCCAGGATCTGGGCCCCTCTGCAGACTAAGAATCAAAGTAGTTTCACTCAAACTGTTTTTTATATTTATAAACGTGTGCTTTGTGTTGCTGCAGCCTGTTATTTAGTGTAAAATCCTGGAATTTGACTAATTTTGCTTCAGAAAGTAATTTATGAATCAATGTGAGACTGTCTAGAGATAGATTGTAGGGATGAGGAAGTGTTGCTATAAATCTAAAAGCTAATTAATGAAACAGTGAGATGAACCTGTTTAATGCTCAGTCCTGATGTAAACACCAGCTGCAGTTCCAGTTCAACATGTGAGCAGAAGGTGGAGAAAGCACTGCATGAAAAGTGAGATTTTCGTCCCCGTAAACTCCCGCAGATCTCCCTGATTTTCGTCAGTTTCCGACAATTTGCAACCCGCGCTTGTCCCCGTTTGTCATGCCACAAATTGTCGGGAACGGACTCTGACGTATGTGGAGAGCGATCAGCTGTACTAATGGCCCTAATTAGCATATGAATGCAGCAAACCCGCGCGGCTGGCCAGGTCTGGCTTGAATAACCCACTCAGTATTGGACGGAACCACTTCTTTTCAAACAAGTAAAGTCGCTCGTGATTGGTTGGCATATATATATATATATTTACATATAAATTTACATATATATATTTATGAATATATATTTATTCATTCATATATTTATTCATTCATATGGTGTGTATTTATGTTATCCTACACTACTACACAATTATTATGCTACCATCAAGGACATGAATGAATTTATACAGGAAATGAACATTTGCCAGGAAGCTGTTTATGCAAAGAAAGAGCTTTATTAAAACACACACAACTATATACAACGCGTATCCAAAAACATGCGTATCTAAAAATTACAAGTCCGTGAACGGTCCGTTTGCTTCCTCGGGGTTGGAGGTAACTGGCAGCATTCCCTCCGAGGCAGGTCCGATGTGCAGACGCCTACTGTGCGTGGCCCTGTACTTCGGCATCGCTTCTAACCGGGACTGCAGCTTAACACAGAGTTCAGTGAGATCCGGCCTACGAAATGGCGGCGACCGTACAATCCATCTAGAGACACCGCCAACGACGCCATCTTCTTCGTCGGACATGAGGTCGACGGTGGCGGACTTCCAGAGTTCCACTTCCTCATCTGCTAGCACACTCTGCCTCGCTTTCAGCAGCTGAAAAACAAAACAATGAATCAGCGCACTGCGTATGGACACAACACATCTATCAATGCACCTGAAAAATAGTCACCAAATAAAGTCTTACCCTCTTTCTTCTAGCCCGACTCCGAGCAGATTGCTTGGTAGCCTCCGCACGCAACGTGTTCTCAGGCTGCGTATATCTGAAGCTCCTGCGTACCGTCTCAAAATACGTCTTACAGGCAGCTGGAAAACAATTAAATGAGAGTGGTATGAATAAAAAATCAAACGCAAGTCACAGTAACAAGGAAGGAGAAAACATTAAAACAAGTAACTTACACACAATGTCGTCTTTATCAA